ATTTTGCGACTGTATATTGCTATCAATAAACCTTCAGTAAATTTAGAGACATTAGTTGAATACACCATGAGAGTATATGCACCAACTTAGTTTTACATTAAGCTACAACCAACGTGCATCAAAGGACCAACACATTTGTGGAACATCATCAAATCTTCTCAATATCTCCTCCCAAGTCTGAAGAAAATAACTGACCCTGTCATTCAATGAAGTGGATACTTTGCCCATCCTGAGAATTTGCTTCTGGCAATGACTGGAGACGAGAACAATGATATTAGATCACTTGCATTCTGAAGAATTCTAAAGGTCAGAGAGAAGGCACGATTATCATTGACTGGAGTGAGACATTTCAGAGTGCCAAAGATAAACTTCAACGCCATAGACTACCACAAAATGATTGACTGGAATGAGAATAAGTTGGAACCCCCCACTCACGATGGATCTTTCACACGAAACTACTGTGCTCAAAGAAAATATCTTAGACTTCCAAATATTCTACGTGATACACAAGCAGTCGAACAGGTAGTGTGACTTGTAACATAAGTGTCGCAAGATGTCTTTTGCAATGAGGTCCGAGATGGCTTCCCAAAGTCTCAATTCGAATTGTGTACTATTATGGCATGCTTAAACTTCAAACAAGAGTACCAGATGAAGTGAAGAAAAACCCTATGCCTATGGTAGAGTGGTTGGATGGAACTCAATATGCAGCCACCTCCTTGTGGGGAGTTCGTGATTTGAATTATCATAAGTTATTGGGCTTTTCAAATTCAAATCAGCAAAGAGCTGATAAACTACGGGAAGCTAGGTTTTATAATAACTACACAATCAATGCCATACCCAAAGAGAATGCTTTTAGCATGGCATTTTAATCTAGAATTATATTATATAAATAAACTATCAAATTCAGGTATTTTTTGTCATTTTTCATATTTTTCAGCCAAATTTATTCATAATGATAAACATTCTAGAAGGAAATTTATATCACACAATTTTTATCATAAAAATACAGGTCATTTTTGCCCCCAGGCTTTCTGAAATGTAATATTTAGCGAATGGTAAAACTCAACAATATTTGTTATATTTCTGAAACTTTAAGCTCAGTGTGCACATCATAAATTTAATAATAGAAGGATAATTTTTTTAGCACATTAGTGTTTTCCTTTCCTCAATATGCATCTTTCTCAAACACAGGGATTTTGCAAATAAATAAATAAATATATATATATATATACAAATACAGAAGCAAAAGTACCCGTCCCCAGTGACGGGGAAAGTTTTAAGTTAATCTATCAGTTTAAATTGTTTCGTGGACTTTAAAAGGGTTAATTGTGTTGTACTCTTGGTTTCACTCCCAGTCAAAGCTCTGAGCTACTTATACCACCCACCACAAAATGTAATTGTTGAGCATTTCAATCATGCTTAGAGCTGCTCAACAATAACATATGGTAAACCTAGATTTTTATTCTTTAAGTTACGTCACATTTTGAAATGTAAATGATAGTGTGATTACTTCTTAACAATTTTGTGTAGAATATCCTGCTTGTGAAATAAAATTTGGCATCATTATTATTCATGCCTATTCTCCCGTCATTTCAAAAGTGAATGTTGAGCTTTGCCTGCATGCACAGATTTTCAAATGGGAGACAGACGAACGGTCATACAGACACCACGGTTCGTAATATATACAAGATTTGTATACTTATAAAGTAAAATACTAAGCTTGTATGTTAAATTATTGTATATTATTTAGAGATTTGAATAAGTATCCTTTTCAGGACGATAATTGTAAAAAGTATATTTTCCAAATTAAATATAGAAGCAAAAACTATACTACAGTACATTAAATGTGTATTAAATCATAAAGAAAACGAAATAATAGGTATGATAAAATCCTTTCATGACAGATAATTGTATAAGTATGAAAAGTAATTTATTGGTTATAATATTTGCCTCGTTCAAATAATAGACAAATTAAGATGGCATTGTGATCAAAAGTATGTTATATTAGTTGTTTCGTTAAAATAATGGTTTTACTTGGAGCCTTTTAGGTTTGGTTTCTTTTGAAGTTTGCTACACAAGGGCTATCTGCACTAGCTGTCCCTAATTTAGCAATTAAAGACTAGAGAGAAGGCAGCTAGTCATCACCACCCACCGCCAACTGTTGGGTTACTCTTTTACCAACGAATAGTGGGATTGACCATGACGTTATAACGCCCCACGCGAGCATGTTTAGTGGGACGGGGATTCGAACCTGCGACCCAACCTTTTAGGACATATAATTAAATCTAGATATTGATGACGTATTCACATGCTGAGACATGTTCAGCCACCCTACAATGAGCTCATCATCCTATTGAACTACCCCTTTATAGAAACACCATCAGTCCTAGCAGCACTAACCTTACTAACACAATCCACCTTTGTAAAACATATATAATACAGTTAAATATATAACTGAAAACTATAAACATAAGTTGAGACGAGTTGAAGTCAGTAAACATACCCATGGAATTATAATAACACTATCCGCCTTTGTAAAACACACATAATACGCCTAGTAACACCATCAGCCTTTATAAAATGTACACAATTAATTATATAAGTGAAAACTATAAAGTTGATATGAACTAGATTAAAATAGCAGATTTAATATTTTACTTATAAAGCGAAACTGTAATTGTGATGAGGTTTGGTTTATGAATTTCGCGCAAAGCTACACGAGGGCTATCTGCGCTAGCCGTCTCTAATTTAGCAGTGTAAGACTAGAGGGAAAGCAGCTAGTCATCACCATCCACCCTATTGCCAACGAATAGTGGGTCTGACCATCACATTACAAAGTCCCCAAGGCTGAAAGGGCGAGCAGGTTTGGTGCGACGGGGATTCGAACCTGCAGATTACGAGTTGAGCCCTAACCACCTGGCTCTATTACGATTAAAAACTTTTCAGCACTGATAACTATAAACACAACGTTATGTACATTACATCAAATATTAATTTCAAGAGTGATTGTTGCTATAAAATTTATCTACATCACCCTCTGGTGGTTCGTTCGCGAACTATCTGATCGCTCATCATACTAACGCACCCTCTGGTATTTCCAAGAATCGGGTAATTGTAAATGAGGTTTGCAATGTTTGAGGTTTCGTTTTTAGTTTTTTAAAGTCATGATGAGCAGTGAAATCCCATGACTAAGATATTTAGTGCAGTCATGTTTAGAGATATGATTGCAATAAATTACTATTTTTTCTGTACTTTCTTACATTGGTAAAAACAGATATACCGGAAATATATGCTTTTTTTTATCACCCGTTTGCTACATTTCTGCATGCTCTGTCTAAAGTGTACTGACCTACCTTACAACTTAAAGTTGAGTTTCCTAGATGATAAGCAAACATTTCGTTAAGATTGAATATAGAATAATTTTGTTTTTCTCGATATATTTTGTGATGTACAATTTAATAATTATTTAGAAACCAAGCATTTAATACACAAAAAACTACCTGAAACTGTTTAAATATTTCCTCTTAAAAGTGAAGAACTGAAACAGTTTTTCTTCGGTAAATAGGTGTTTTCTGAAATCCTGCTTATAACGAATCTTTGTTCATTACCCTTAATAGATTTGACAATTACTCCATTTCGTTGTTGTTGTTTTTTTTAATTTTCGCGCAAAGCAACACGAGGGCTATCTGAAAGCACGTTTGGTGTGACGGGGATTCCAACCCACGACCCGCAGATTGCGAGTCGACCACCCTAACCACCTGGCCATGCTCGGCCACTCCATTTCGAGGTAAGATGTTCATGAATCAACCGACGTTGTTTGTAAGATAATTGATAGAAGTCCGTTACAACCAACTTGTTTACACGTTACTTTATTCGCGAATTGCCACGTCTGGATAATATTATTGCCTCGTACGTTTTTATCCAATTTCCAGCTTCTATTGCCAGAAGGTTGGTTATATATCATCTTTGTTAACCCGAAGAACTAGAGTATTTCTACAAGTAGTATTTAATAAGTTATATTTGTTTAACCTAACGCCCACTACTTCATGATTTGCATGTTTTTACTCTTTCGGTAGGTATATCCCATAATTACCTCAACAACCGAAGGTGGACGGAGGTTATGTTTTCACCCGGGTTTGTGTGTATTTGTCAGCAAGATTTCTCAAAAATGGCCGAATGGATTTGGACGAAAGTTGGTATATGACTCAACTTAGAAGTGATTAGTTTGTTGGAGGTCAAGGTCACAGCAAGGTCAAGAAAATCCAAATAATCCCTATCTGTCAACATGGAAACCGATTTTTCACGTTAAATTTGCTCTATAACTCAGTCAAAAATGATCGGATTTTGATGAAAATTGGTGGATTATGTAGAATATTATTCTTCACTGTCCTGCCAAAAATGGCCCGTGTCCGTTTTTGAGAGCCGAATATGATCAACGTTGCGTGGCGGAGGCATGCGCTCTACTGAGTGACCCTCTAGTTTTGGTTTGTATTTAATCGTCATAAGTTGTTCCCGTTTTATTATCTGAAAACTGGTTCAAAATTAAAAATATAATTAATCTTTACTTAAAATTTAAAACTGCCATACTTTAATCAAGAGTGATCATCTTGCGTTTGATGAACACAGACACATAAACATGACTGAATGTATAACCTACGAGCAGCTGTTACGGCTGCTTTCGTTCTTTATTTTCTTCGTTTGTTTGTTTTGTTTTGTAATTAAGCACAAAGCTACACAATGGGCTATCTGTGCTCTGCCCACCACGGGTATCGAAATCCGGTTTCTAGCGTCCGCAGACATGCCGCTGTCTCACTGGGGGCTATTTTCTTCGTTACCTGCACGCTTGTTCTCTCCGACTGTTTCCGTCTTCTTTAGGCTGCTGGTATTTCTTATTATCAGTACTTTAGCTTTTCCTTACATACAGATAACTACAGCGTTTCTTAAATTCCCTGTAAAATAAACAAATAACCATACAAGGAGAAATAGATACAACACACAAATCACTGAAATAAATAATTTAATGAATCAGTCTACTCAAAGGTTGGCTTTACAGATTGTCACACCACTTAGTAAAGTTGAAGCTACAAAAACTGAAAACAACGACAGCAGATAAACCTAAGACTAATTTTAACAACAAAACTGGTTATAAAATAAGTATAAAAAACAACAACTTGAATTTATCAGAACGCTTTAGGTCAAATAGGAAGATGCACACATGCGTTTCTTATAAAAGCAACAGTTGAGTCTGAGTTAATCTTTTAAATTTTCACGTAACAGCTTCACATTCATCCCGCACCCGAAAATTGACAACTTCCTGTCTTTGTGTTTATCATAGTAACAATTTACATCACTTAATAAAACTAATACCACTTCCAAGCAACAGAAATGTTTCTATTCTAGCTTCTGACGTTTGTGATGATTTACCTGACAGCAGCTGTAATAAATATAGCGTTTTGTAGACAAAACCAAGCTTACTTTTACACATCGCAACTTTCATTGTCGAAAAGGATTATAAATTTCAATTAACCAAGATACACAACAGAATAGTCACCAATGTCTTAAATACAGCAAATAAATAATATACATATTGACTCATAAGTTAATCAAGACAATATGGAAAAAAGCTAAATTTCACCTCACCCGCGCTGGTTTTGTAGATAAATAAATACATATATATACATACAAACTGTAAGAGTAATCTCAATTTAAACTTACACTGAAAGGTAACCCAGGGCAAACAAACATAATTAGTTGAGAATTTTTACATAATTTTTTTTTCTTAATAAAAACTGTGACTAGTTGATTAAGTTTTCCATGGTTGTGTTCTAATCAAATATGTAAATGTTCACTGACTTCATAACATTTAGTTTATTGAAAATGTTCAAGACTAAATTAATGAAATATTTCAATAAATTACTTTATTAAAATTTGATCTGATTAACATCTTTCAACAAGTACAAATGACCAATAATTATCAGCAAACATTTGTTTTTAACAAGTTTGTCTCTTTTTATTGTATTCTCCACACTAAATAAACAGTAGTACATCAATTACACACCTCACTCTTTAACATTTTGGTTGGTTCAACAACAAAATCTATAACTATTACTGATACAGTGCTGACTAACTTGGAACTCCTAATGCAACTCCTCATATGCACTCTGGAAAATTTACTTGTGACTGGTACAAAAGTAGTTATATATAATTTAACTATCACTGGCAATATAACCTGCGACTACTTCAAAAACCTCATATTTTATGAAACTTTTTTTTAATGGCATATTCCAATACTTTTTTTGCTCTATGCCATACAGCAACTTGTTACTATGTTTCATCTAATCTGTTGTCAGAACAAGAAAAAATACCCTAATAAATTTTGTACTGCTTAATCATTTCTGTTTCATCACAAACAACGAATCCTCTTCTTAATATTTTGTTCAATGGAATGCTTTAAAGGGAAGAAATTCACAAAGACAATGAGGAAAAAACTGACCTATGGAAAGAAACAAAATATATGATTCACAGTCATAATAATAATTAACTTTAATATTCTTGGCTTACTAACAACTGTCTTTTTCTCTTTTCTGGCTTTAAGAGTCCCTTCACAATTTCCTTGGATTCAATGTCCAGAACACAGTTGATATGATGACCACAAAGTTGATGATAAAATGAGTGGTGATAATAGTCTGCTTGGGATCAATATTCAGAGCACAGCCAAGGTGATGACAATGAGGTTGATGACAAATGAGCAGTGACAAAAGGGAGAAAAAGAGAGAAAATACTGACACAGAGATGAAACTTTGACAGAGGCTTATGAAACTTCTCAAGTTCCAAGAGACATCCATCTGATATAATGTTGTTCAATGTACAGTTCTTTCAGAGTTCAAATAAGTTCACCCCTTTATCTAATTCTTTGGTAAAGATAATCACTATTTCTACAAGTAATAAATTTGTATTAGAAAGGTGTCTGATCCCATAAAAATTTCAATACAAAAAAAAATAAAAACATTTTAACATTAGTAGTTTGAACCTTAAATTTGTACAATACCAGACAATATTTAACTGCAAACCATCAATAAACTTTGATATCAATCTTCAACATTTTAACATATCTATACTCTCATTTAGTATGAAATAACAAGCCAAGGGTGAGTAGACAGAAGGTTTTTCAGTTGAAAACAATCATAGCTCGTCCTGATAGTGTCGAATCCTTTCTGGATTACCTGTTTTTTTGTTCATATTCTTTTAATCACTGTAGGTAATATTCTGGCTGTTCTAATGGAGTATTTTTTCAAATCTCTTAACTTCTTTTCACATGGTTTCTTTGATTTTTAATACTGTTGCAAATTCATTCTGATCCTGTAGAAATATTAAAAACCTCAAGCATACAGATTTATTAATTATACAAATTTTGACTAAAATCACACATTTAGGCATGTGTTGATCCACAGTGCTGGACTTGTGGAAACAGATTAAAGTGCTGAAATATAGTAAAAAATTATATGATAAACAAGCAGGGGAGATTATAGCAGTAACTACAACATCTGTTAAAATTATTACTCTAATTAGAGGCAGTAAAATGTAGCTTTGGACATAACTGTTAAACTGGAAAAAAAAGGCAAGTGTGAGTGTGTAAATAAATGGGAAAAAACTTGTGTATCAGCTTTTAAGTGCAAACACAAAGGTTTATAATGTACATATGGAATAAATGAATTAGAAATAAGTAGTCCAGTATATAAGATACATAAAGAGTTTGAAACTGACATTAAGGTTCAAATATTTCCCTCTCTTTTGATACCAACCACCAATGTAAGTTCTGTAAAGAAACGTAGCCTGAAATATGTATAATATAGTGAGCATACGAGTTGTTTTTACACAAAATTTAAGTGTAGTTCTAAGAAGAGATTCTGCTTCAACATTTCTAGAAGCCAGCCAAGTCATTATTTTAGTATATTTGCATTAATGAAATGCCATACTGCATTACCTAACAGGTTCTTCTCACTTAATGCTATGTCGACCTAAAATGGGTCAGGGCCAAGCCTATTTTGTTCTAAAAAGGCTTAAAGTGAGAACAGCTAATTCTTTGGATGGCAATGGAATTGTAACATTCTTTAAGCATATGTGCACTCATAAACCTTTTGTTTTCAATAATATTAGGTAGAAAAGGAGAACTACAAACATGCTTCTAAAACTTGAATAGATATGGAAAACAGTCAAAGATTACAAAGATTAGATGTTTTGAGTCAGTACATTCTGAGACATTTCTAAGTAAATAATAAGGAATAAACAACAAAGGGAGATTATTATGGAATGAAACTGAAAACAAAAAGAGGAGTGTAAAGTCGCTACAGTTTCAGGTCACTATAGAACTATTAAAGGTAGTGTACACATTCAGTAGAATTAACAGTGGAGCACAATGACAACATTTTAAAGACATACCTGAAGCTTATCCTGCACTTAAATTTCACACGGGTGAACTTGATGACTGCTACAAGCCTGTAAATGGCATTGCATGTCAATTCCCGATGTATCCCCTGGTATCTGTAGCCCAAGAATATAAAAATAAATGGCTGGAGAACAAATTGGATGGAACTAACTACATTCTTTGAAGAGAGAGAGAGTACATATACAACAGTTCTAGCAATTTGAACACATAAAACAACACAAAGAACAAGAAAGAGCCGAGGAAGTACAAGTTAGCTTGAGTGTCTGCAATGAGTACTCAACTATAATGAGCTACTTACATTTTCTTGTCCATACCCTGAAATACCATATTCTCCCATAGGAGGCCCATCTTCTCTAGGTGTACCAGGACCATTGATGGGTGAGTTCTTCATACCATCTAAACTTTCACCTACACAAAAATGTAAGTATAAAGAGAAATGTCAGACAGAATGAAAATACGGCCCATAAATTAAAATCAGCTAATGAAACCTGTATTAAATATTTACATCAGTTCATTAAGGCTCTTGGAAAATCATCTTTATAATAAGTAAACTAAAAAAATGTTCAAATTTAATGAGTGTTTACGAAAGCTTGTACCATATGAGGTAGCAGGTGAATAGTTATGTGATTAAAATTACAAATAAAACATTAAATGAACACGTATATTATATATGTATACATACACACAATTCACTAAAAGAAAGAAACAAATATCAATATCCTCATTTTTTTTTAACTATAAATACATGTATATACTGATAGATATATCATCCACAGTTTCACATATTGCTCAAGCTCTTAGTTAATAAAACCTACAAATCTAAGTACTGATCTACGTCAGGACAATACAGATGAAAATATTCTATTAAAAGCTGATAGAAATGTAAGTTATTTTTCTTTTTTTTTCTCTCTCTCATATTTCACATAAAAGTTTCAATATCATAATTTCTATTGATGATATATTAATAATAAAATCCCATAAGTTTAAATCCAGTTCTATAGAAGAAAGTAAAAATCTGTTGAATGTATACACGACAGTAAGTAATATAAAATATTAAGGCAATTTTCAGTGTTATTGTAAATGAAATATACCCCTTTCCAATTAGAATGACAAGACGTACACAGCTTTCAAACAGACATGATTATACCTGTTGAGGACATTCCATTCATAACAGATGTCCCCATGTCTGGTCCAATGTGACCATCTGGTCCTGGTCCAAGTGGGAACTATTTAAGTCCATAAAAAATATTTTCTTAAAGAATTTACAAACACATAAAAAGAGAAAATCACTAAATAACAAAACTGTGCATACTAGGACATGGTTTTAAATTGAAAATAATACATACATATATATATATATATCAATTTCACTTTGGACTGTAAACATTTTTAACAATAAAGATATCAATAAAATACATTTCTATGTTTAAGTGTCTGAAATTATAAGACCAACTTTGATATTTAACAAGTATATGTCTAATTCAAAAGAAGACTGGCTTAATTTTTTTTACTAGCCCAATTGGGGTTAAGTTTGAGATCTCTTAGACCAGAATTACAGTATTCTGAAATTAGTTTCATTTTCATCTGTGGCAAAATATTTTTTCTTCCAACCAATGATACAGTTTCACATACTGCTCAAGCTCTTAGTTAATAAAACCTACAATTCTAAGTCCTGATCTATGTCAGGACAATACAGACAATACTCTCTAATCATTGCTAAAATTTTTCAACAATGCATCAGTCTTTTATACCCCCCTTAATTTTTGTGCCATTGCAGCAACATGTGCTGATCATGTGACTACCCTCCACCAATCATACTGCTCCACATATACTAGCACAGGTAGCTCCCTTTACCATTGCAGCACAATCCTCACTTTTGAGAATTGACAGATACAAACCAGAAACACCGGCATGATTATCAGTGGGGAAGTGGGTGATTAGAGGTGAAAAAACAGGTGTGCCACAACTATAAAATGAGGCACACCTGTGGGGTATAGCACTACTTCTGGAACATGTATGCTCTTCACCCAGTAAAAAACAAAGTAAGACACATAGGGTGAAATTTAATAGACAGGCACCATGTCATGTAATACAGATTCTGCCCATGTACAACAGATAGTACGTAAGATGTCCACATATGTAACAAACATGAGCACATGACACAATCATAGTCAGATTTGAAGAAGGTGCCTGGAATCAGATATAAGAATACGTGGCTGGGGCTAAAGGACCATAACTGTATATGAATAGAACAAGTATGGTCTGCCCAGGCAAAAAAACATCCAGGGGAAGCACCTTGGATTTATATTAAGACAGTCATGCATGGTCAGCCTGGGAAAAACATCTGAGAGTAGCACCTTGGTATACGTCGGATTATGTCAAGTGCGGTCCATCTGGGCAGAAAATATCCAGTGGAAGCACCTTGCATAGTATTTTTTGTTTCATACATAACAGGTTGTGTGATCAACAAAGGGGAAGCACCTTGTGACATGATGTAGTATGACAAGTGCGTTCTATCTGGACAGAAAACATCCAGTGGAAGCGGTTTACATAAAATTGTTTGTTTCATATCTTGTACATAAGTTACTTAGAGATCAACAAGTGCAGTCCACCCAAGCAAAAACATCCAGGGGAAGCACTTTGTGATATTACTGAATATGTCAAGTGCGATCCATCCAGGTAGAAAACATCCAGTGGAAGCACTTTGCCTGTTTATGTATTCACAAGAATCTTTCAGCTCATCATGGACAGCTTGAAGCTTTGTAACAATCAGTCTGTGTGTTCTTGTTTGTAATATTGCAATGGTATGAGAAGTTAATCCCTTTTGCAATGCAGTGCACAATCATCCTTGGATTTCAAATGTACTTCAAAAAATAACAGTCTGGAAGGCACCTTGCTGTGGATAAACCAAAGTAAATTATCTACTGTGTTTTTCAGGAGTCTGCCAGACAAACAGTTTACTGCCTGTGAAACTGGATAGTTTCATTCATTGACAATCTGAAAAACAAAAGACTATTGTAAAGGTGTTTTATTCTCTGATTCACCTCACACTTTATACAGCTCAAACATTCTTAAGTGTGGATGGCTTCGACAGAGTGATGGAAATGGGACATTTGCTGTGGCTGAAGACAGATTTTTTTTGTTCTCCAAGAAAGGTATCTAACATTGACAAGTGATACCATATCTCAAAAAATGTACAGGTATTCATTCACTTGTCTACAACCTCGAGAAAGTCTTCCTTTCTGGTCTTAAATGAGTGACTTGACATGGAAAACTCTTTAAAGTTCTGGACATTTCATGGAGTTTTTTTATGACTTATGAGTTTTTTTCTTTGCAGCTACTTCACACTGCTAAAGATTACCTAACAGTTTGGTATAACTCTTCTTGTTATTTGTTTGGTATAACTCTTTCTTGTCATTTGTGTCATGCTTAAACCTTATCCCTTTTCCAGATAACCTATCACTAGTTGTTCTGGGGAATTTAAACGTGTTACACTCCAAAGCACTTACCATATTGTGCCACTTTCATCATCAATACTGCTATGCTTTGACAAGTTACCTTAGGTATGTATTTAGTGGAGCTTTTCCAATAAAGTATCATATGTCCAGCCAAAAGCTCACTCCATGTCAATAGGTCACACAGAATCACTGACTAGAGGTATAAAATATCCTGTTTGTTGCCTATCAGCAAAGGAAGAAGTAGCAACAGGATTATTTCTTCATAAGAAACTTTGTGTTTAGCTTGAAACTTCAATTGTTCTTTTCCTTCTTGAAAGTGTTCTCTTTTTATTGCTAGCTTTTTCTCAACAGAAAACCCACTGTGGTCATACACACATCACACCTCAAGTGTTTATGCTTGCAGGTAATGGTTGGTGGATTACTGTGCTGGAGCATGGCTAGAGCCTTCACAGGCTAAGTTTACACCACACTGTTGTTTTGAGTCCTTTGCCAAAATTTTATAAGAAAAGGTGGTTGAAACCAGGATTTATCGAATATTCTCACACTTGGCACAAAACCAAACTTACAGTTCAAAACTCTTATTCTATAGCTATGAGGTGATATGAATTTTATACTATTGTGAATTCTTCTAAAATGTGGGCACGTTGTAAAATCCACTTTTAGCAATGCAGTTGACTCATAAAATTAGGGTTTATAACCAATTAATAAAAAACACAGAAATAATAATAAGTTATATTTATCTTAGCCTTCCAATGAAATCACTAATAACATCTTCCAAAGAAGCAGACCCAATTTTCTTTTTAGGTAACCAAGAATGATATCAACTATACACCAATAAAATCATGTAACAACATAAAGCAGTTTTATTCTTACCCCTGACATAGCTCCTCCAGGCACTGTCTTCATCATGGTGTACATACTCTCACCACCAGAACTAGAAGAGTCTAGAAAAATAAAAACAAATGTATGCACTAAATGAATAAGGGTTAACAGTATTACAAGAGTAACTTTTTGCACAGTGTATGAAATTTGAAAACAGTTCAGTAAAAAAAAAAACCTGCCTCACAAGCTGAAAAGCACTCAAACATTAACAATGTTCAAGATCAGTAATTTTATAGCTTGTGAGAGACACGACCCTAAATGTACTATCTCTAAATATGATTACATTAAATAAAGAAAACTATCTGATAATTTATTATATTAACAATAAAATATTTTACACTTCTTATGTAATTATTTCACAATTTTGAGAAGTTTTGCATGTCTTCTTGTTTGTATGGGAACAAATAGTTGTACAGATATTTTTTGACAATATCTTTGTGGTCACATCTGTTGAACAATAAGTTTCAAAGGCTAGTCACTAGATTTTTCTCTTCCTCACATGATACAGATACATCTCTGACAGAATACATCTAAATAACCATACACCAGTATGTTGTGAAGTAACAGACTTTGACTAATTCTTTTGGATTTGATAAATAAACATCAGACTTCAATGAGAAATACATTTACTACCAAAATGATTTCTTCAATCTAATAACACACAAATGATAAAAGTGTTACCTCTTAATGGCCTATTCTCATTCTCACTATGTAAACATAAATAACACAAACAGTCTGTAAACTGAACTCTTTATTTCAAATTCTATAACTTTTGCACTTATTTTATAGTAACTTTAATCTCCCATAAACAAGCTTATTAGTTACAAGAAATGTGTTATTCTTGAACAACTTTGTTTACATTATCAATACAGTATAACAATGAATGACACCATGTAACAATATGTAACTTCCTTGTAACAATAATTACAATAAAAATACACAACTTGTAAAGACTTCTAATGTAAAACAATTCACAATATATAAAAATTAATGATAATACACAACATTATGTTTTCATAAATACTTATAACTATGTTCATATCCTTATTTTGGATTAATTTAGTGTTTTAAGACCTTAGAACCTCTGTCAGATGATTTATTAGAAATTTCAATAATAACCACTCTGAGGCACCCTATTTTCAATAAAATTTGTTTTGTTTTTTAAATCTCAAGCAAAAACAATTTTGTGTGGTCCTACATATTGAAATAAATAAAATTCTTATTGAAAATATTACTTTGTTCAGTGTCAGGTTTAAACAGAATATTTCTACAGATGCTAAAGCTCTCCTTATGGACACCTCATGGACCACAGTTTGGGAACCACTACTATAATTGATCTATCCATGTTTTAAAAAAAAATAAACATTATTATAATTTCTTTTTTATGATAAAAAAAATCTGTCATTATGAAGTAATACAAATGAAGTGTTTTTAACTAAAAATGCTGAATAATAAACCATGCACCAGTACTAAGCAATATTTTTCATACATACAAATAGACTGTTTACACAGAGAGATACTTATCCCATAGCCATCCATATTTCTAAACTAAAGGGAAGGTAGCCAGTCAACTGCACCTACAACCAATAATTGGGCTACTCTAATTGAACATTGGGATTTAACAAAGTGCAGAACAGAGTGAATTTTCACAGCAACAGGCCATGACCCATGAATTCACAGTCTGAACAAGTCAATCCTTGGGCCATATCCAGCCCAAACAACAACAACAACAACAAAAAACCAACAGAGAAGACCACAATGAAGAAGTGTTATACAACATTCTTGACTGACTATTTGATAATTCTTTCATTAACTTCACTCAAATATTTAAAAATTGTTCTTTCATTCTTTCCCCCTTTTTTTTTTAACCTTGAATTTATACATTCACTTCAAGTGGAAGATCACTGAGTATATGATACATTTCAATCGGATGAAAAGAATACTTGATCTACTCGTTAAAATGATACATAAGTAATACTACAGCCACTTTAAACTGCATTTATAGGTATTACATCACATGCAAATGCTCCTTGGATATCTCTACTCTAAAATATTGCATATTACATGAAAATATACTACACTATTGAACATACATTATTTCTATATTCTCAAAACCAAATCTCATAACAAATACATAATTATAACCAAATATTTAAGGATACGAGTTTTAAAACTGCATTAAAACCTACTTCTCTTTCCAGAGCCTTTGTATATTTTTGTTTCTTTATAGTTAAGTACAAAGCTATGCAATAGGCTACCTGTGCTGTGCCCACAATAGGTATCAAAATCTGGTTTCTAGTGTTATAAGTCTGCAGACTTACTTCTGTGCCACTGGGGAGTTGCCTTTACCTTAAAGGTTCAATGTAAATTAGTTTTTGTTGTGATTATTATAGAAATACCCCAACAACACATGCAAGTAAAAGTTTTTCAACAAATTTGCTCCAGTGATCCTAAAAAAAAAAAAGTTCAATGGTTAATTAGATAAAAATCATACTGTGGGTTAATGAGTGGCTAATTAATACTATTCATACTTTGTACCACATTCAAATTCATTGAGAAAATAAGAGAGTAACTAGTAAAGAATCTTAATGTGAACTTAATTTCATTTTAGAGAATGTTGAAGATCAAATAGTAAAAAAATGATGCTGTCTTCACCTGGCCGCAAGTTGGAAGCATTAATTCTTGTGTTTTCAGGAGAGAAAGGGCCAGATGATCCTAAAATAAATGAACACTGAGCTAAGTATTTGATATGTTTTACCTAGAAGTAGATAGTTAACCCACACAAAGTAGCAGCATTTCGTGAACAATTACCACACCTTGAATATATTATGCACAATTTTAATATTATTACTACTATTAGCATGTATGAGTATAAACACCTAAGCACATTTTGACTTGATACTTGGTGCTACAACAGTCATACTCAGTAACAACTATATCTTCGATTGGATTAGAGATCGACCAATCTTAAGTGTTGTTTTAGGCCCACTTTAAACACACTGATAAAAAAAACCTTAAAAATCAAATAACCTACATTACCAAAAAAATACACCAGTTACAAAATTACACCATACTGAGTACATCCATTAAAATATGAGAAAACATAACTAACAAAAATATGTCTTGAATACAAACGTCAAAACTGAGTAAGTTCAGTAATACACTTAAAAAAAAACATACTTGGAGAGCGTAAGGCCACCACAGATTTATCATTAATGTCACATGCATTAAGTTGTACATGACAAACACTATAACTACTACAAAGCTCAACCCATAAAAAAAGTTATTATACACCTATTGTAAATGATATCTAAAGTCCATTTGAGGAATAAGTCAAGATATGGCCTACCTTGAGGGCTGGGCATAATAGGTGTACCTGACCTCTGAGGACCTGCCCCTGAGGATGGAGGACCCTGTTTGATGGAGAACAAACTTAATCATAATGTCTTTAAAAATAATATGAAAATAGCTTTAAAATCCAAAGCAAACACATGCACATATTACTTAGTGGAATTCCCAGTTAATATTTTATGTAAACACAGTACTGGATTAACCATGAGGCAAATGAGGCAGCTGCATCAGGTTCCCACAAATATTTTGTTAACAATGTTTAGGAATATTGCTATATTCAATTTACATATTTATTTCTTATATTTGAAAGTTTATTTTTAATACAATAAATTTTTTTTATTTCTTATATTTGAAAGGGCCTCCATAAAGATAGTTGCCTCAGGGCCTCCACATACCTTAATCCAGCCTTGTGTAAACATGTGTTGTCTGTTTTTGTCATTAAAGGTTCATAGTTCATTATGCATAGTGTCATTCTTTGATATAGTCTTATTTCATTGGTTTACATGATCAGGTTGGTCTACAGTTTTGTAACTCTCGTAATTAATTAATGTTAATAAGGTCATCAGAGAAATTTCTTAACAAAAATTATTCTCTATAAATAAGCTCATTAAATTTTAATAGTGAAGGTCAGTGAAGAAAGCTAAAGTTTAGTTCTATTCAGAATAGGAGGGTATGTAACATGCACGAAAGTTCTATTTCTGGAAGTCATAAAACCTGTTAATTTACTATTTAGTGTGTGTAATTGTTGTGATATACATTCTATAGCTTGAGTATGACTAATGTAAGTGTAAAAGTATGTTAGTTGTTATAAACAAGAAGCTGAGTTTCAGTGATTTTCAGTATTGAGCCTAATAATTATTTTGTAAGAGTATAAGATATTTGAACTACTTTTATTTTTACATGATCCTGTGAGCCAACTGCCTATTTAAGAACAGTCAAAAAAAAAAAGAAAATCAGTAAATGACACGCATAACAAATACTCTTATGTATTAAATTACTTAAATATACAAATCAACTATGTCAAACTACTGTACTATACTGGTTATATATTTTCAAATTTTTTGATAGAGATTTTTTTTTACAAACAATTGTAACAGTTGGTTAAGTTCCATTTTTAAAAACATAAAACAGTATAACTATAAATACTGTAAGATTTACACATTATGGAATTCAACCAAAATTAATGACACACAATGATATCATCACTCCTCACTTTTGAATGTCCAAAGGACATAGAATCAATCCTTTAATTTAAAATGTGATACTATTGTTTCCTAAACTTGAAAATTATTAATTCATCTTTCACTTGCTTAGCTAATGCATCATAGTTTTAGAAAATTCAACCAACCGCAGTTCCTCACCAGTTTAGAGACATTTTTACAAAGTGAGACCCAAACATAAACTTCTCCTGAAAAAGAATTACTGAAGTGTTTAAAATTATTTAGAATGAAGATTAAAATATAACAGCATTGGAAAACAAATCTAAATCACTATATAAAAAAAATTCAGGTACGCACTATTGCCAAAGTTACAACCCTTCTTCGTATAAAGATGTGCTTTATAAGGAACCAAAGTTGGTATCTCTTGGACTCAGCTGTGTCACAGAACTTTTCCTTGTATCAAAATGTGTTCTATAGGAAATCAAAGTTGACATGTCTGTGACTCAACTGTGACTTATTACAGTTGCTACTCACAGCATTTTCTCATATAAAGACATGCTTTACAGGGAATCAAAATTGTATGTTTGGGTATAAACTGTGTCACAGTTGCTGCCTTACTGAAACATTCCTGTAAGGATGAATTCTACTTTGTATGTTTAAAATTCAATGTAAATATGTTTTTCACAAGTGTATGCTGATGTCAAGTGGGATTTGGACTTGTTGCTCTGCATAATTCTTGGCCTTAAAATGTGACTCAGAGAGAGGAAAACATCTCTTTGGTTTGAAAAAAATCGAAAAAATGGTAAAGTAAGTACCATATTATTTAGAAGTGTGTGAAAACAATGATTTTTGTAGCAGTAACAAATACTTACATAATGGCTTCCAGGTGAAACAGAGGAGTAATTGATCTAAAAATTAAGAATCCATTGTGAGCAACTTTGCATAAAATTCATGTATAAATTCTCTATAGATGGTAAAAATTAGTTACAATACAAGCGACATTGACGTTAAACATTACTTTATGACCTCAAACAGTGAAAGACACTGGAAACTAGGTATTGTTTATAGCTACATTAGACAAACTCAAAACATTTTCATTTTTTAAAAACTCAGTCTTATATTGATTAAATTGAAAAGTAAAAAACAAAATAAAAAACATTTAAGTATTTGTATTTATGGCAAAATAATAAGGCCACTATCCCTAATTTTGAACTACTAATCAGAGGGAAGGTAGCCAATCAGCAGCATCTTACCAACCACACTAAAGGATTGTCTGTCACTCTTATAATGACCCCACAGCTTAATGTGCAGAGAATATTTTGTGGTTTCACAAGGACAAAAAGCTAGCTCACCAGCTCCAAAATCCACTGTCATACCAGGGTCAATCCACTCCCAATATTTAAAAGAATATATGTATATCAGTACCATATTTTTTAAACCATACTTTTTCATAGTGTGTTCAGTGGTTACCCAAAAATATTAGTTTATACATTAATGCCTGAATTAATAAACATTACCTTTTTTTTTCAATAACAACACTCTCTATTTAAATAATTTTACTCCAAACTAAATAGTTCAAACCACTAACAGAATTTTTAGTATTACATGTATTTGATAATATATGTGCAGTTGAAAATACACTTCTTTCAGACAATTAATTTAAAAATTATGGCACATGTATAAAAATCTTTTTGACAACTTACTTACAGTAGACATATTTGGCTGCCATTGTCTGCCTCCTGGCCCCTGCCTTTAGGTAGGAAGCGATAAAATTAAAATGATTATTTAGCTAGAAATCTTGTAAGTCACAGGAAAAAAAAGCTACTAAAATATTCTTAAGTATCAATAAATAGACACTAAATTAATTCTTAGCTTTGAGCACACAGTGTAATTTCTTCCAAATGCAACTTGTTCAAGTTTGAAAAAAAACAACAAATACTGAATTCTTTTGAATGGCTTCAATATTTATGTTTCAGGTCAACTTTAAGACCTTCAGTTTTTCATAATTTGTTATATTGTTTAAACAAAGTGTGGAAGTGGTTGATGTATGCATGCACACACACACACCTGTAATAATATAAAGTAATGATTACAAAGTTTCTCCTGTGTAAATCTTAGAACCATATTAACAAATGGTAAGTGTCAAGCTAAGTGAATGGAAAAAGCACCTCACAACAGCCTGATTATTTATGTAAACAGTATTATTTCTTTATTTAAATGGTATCACTTGACAATTTTTCTAATCTATACAAACATATAGATAAGTAGAAGATTAACACTAGTTTGAATTACAATCTATAACAACAGAAGTTACAGGCATTCCTTGTGAAAGCAAACAAAAAAACTCAAACTGAGAAACTATCTTAGGACATAAATTACACCTGTTAATTCTTGTTTTTATGAATACAGAGCTCTCAGTAAGCAATACAGACATACTCTATGCTGAAACATTGCTTTTAAACATATGAAAACTTCATATATGAATGCATTCCTGACTTACATGGACAGTGGAGAAACTCCAGGACCCACTGCTCCACCTGATGGTCTTATTGGTCCATAACTCTGAAATAAAAAGGTGATGTCATGAATATTGTGTTGTCAAAGTTACAAAGAAACAAATTACAAATATTTTTTTTTTAAATAGATGATGAAGTTTTGGTTATCACCTAAAGAACATCAATAATTTCTACACATTCATGTTTATTTCAAAACACTTTGTAGTCCTTTAACAGTAGTGTCATAAGAATTTATACAAATAAAGCAGGTTTATGTACTTCATTGCATTCATGGTTAAGCTTATCAAATAATAATTTATTTTCTTAACTACTGCTACCACATTCTTTAATGTGGCTTTCATCATAATTATCAGTGCTAACTTTGATAACAGTATCAAAAGTAGGTAAAATAATATTGCTTCACACAAAAAAAAACTCAAACGGTTAGTTGGCATACAATAATAATCTTTTAGTAAAACATTCTCAACAATTTACATTTACAAGATTGTCACTTCAATATTTCATGATTCATTAAGCTTTAAAGATTTAGCTTTTCCTTCTGCATCTACTGTAATGACAATTCATTCATCTTATTGGATAATAACTTTTCAATCGGCAATTATTTAAAGACTGTTTAATAAAACTAATCTTGGATGAGAGCGTAAATTGTTAAAACATTTTAAGGGCAGTATTGCATAAATTATGATATTTATAAGTTATATGATATACATTAGGCCCTGAAATAATTAACAGAAAAAAAATGTCCACACTTACTGCTTGTTTTATCAAAAGTAACAGCCTTGACATTATATAACAATTAGTGGAATCCACATCAATGAAATGTGAACAGGGTTGGTAATTGGACCAACCCCATAGTGGATAAGGAATGTTGACTATAATTCTGAATTCACTATGTGTATCTGCACAAAATGTGGCAAACTTTTAGTACAAAGCCTTTGTTACAAAAGCTTTTGTATTCAAGACATGTCTGTGAACTGACAATGTCAGTCTGACTTAGACCATCACCTGTCTGATTGCACTGTGACATTCACATGATGAATAAAAAATACTTTGTCCATTGTACAGTTTACACAACCCCTAGAACCTATGAATGGCATATCTACAATTTTTTTTCAGTATCCCTTTTTAATGTATTTATTCTCCTCTACCATGTACTGTCACTTAGACAGCAGTGTAGAGTAAAATGAATAACTGATAACTCTGATATCAAATACATAATACCATGTTGAATGATACTGTCAAAGGTCACAGTATGCACACTTCTGCCCCATCTGTGCATATAGGGTGAAGTAGTATGATGTATAATAATAACCAAATAAAGCACAATCACACACTTAAAGGTAGGAAGAATGAATCATTACTATGGAAGTAGATACATTTTGTAACAATGTAAGTTACTCCTAACTGGTTCAACATGCATTTACTGTGGTAAAAGAGCAAACACATGTGGCTCAAACTGCTCAATTACTTACACCAGGATTCATTTGACCAAGATGTTGCCCTCTTTGTGGGTTTATTCTTGAATTCATTGGGTTCATTCCTTGTGGCCCTATAAAAGAGATACAAATATTTTGAAGATAATGTTAATTTCCAAGAAGGAAATACATTTCTCCATCTACATAGGTAGGAATTCCAATAGACAGGTGTTTAATGGAAACTTGACAACAGATCTCATTAGCTTTCTAGATCATTCTGATGATACTTAATAATATACTTTTAGCCTTGCCCTACAAAGTAATTTAAACCAAAAATATACTATTGTGGATAATTCTTTAATTTTTTAAGATCCAAGTTAATAGGACTGTAACTTTTATAATAAATAAATATACTCAACAACTAAAGCGTTAAAGAAAAAAACAATAATAAAACACTTGTTGCTGTAGCAAAAAGCTACACAATGGGCTAACTGTACTCTGTCAATTGTGGGTAATCGAACCCCAGATTGTAGCACCGAAGGTCCTTAAACTTACTGCTAACCAGATAATACTAAAATCAGACTAATCAATGTATTTTAGTGTTTGAAACATTTTAAATTTTGCAGTTGTCAATAACAGAGTGGACAGTGAAACATTTCTTTAGATATTATACACAATTTAATGGGGGATAATTGTGAAATGAAAAAAATAGTACTTTTAATTACAATACACCATCGATTTTCTGTCACCTCCTTTAATCCAGGCAAAATTATGTGAGCTCACTTGAAATTCCCACAACCACCAGAGTAGTTCACTGGGTGGCCACAGATGGCATTGCGTGTGGCACTCGCTCTTTCAGGATGGGCTACTTACATTTTAAGTAGGTACATCACTATCGTGAAAATTTTCTTATAAATATTAAACTAGTGGATCAAATTACTTGAATTTTTTCATGATGACACAGTCAACTATGAAACAGCAGTAATCCTGACAGCCCTCAACTTCCAGACCTTTGTGATTAGCTGTACAATTCCAGCAAAATTCTAAAATTTGCCATTTTGAAAGTGGCACTACCGCAACATTCTTTATAAGTACAGTAATTATTAAACTTTTTTCATTTATACTGTGCTAATAAACCTGTACTAATTTATTTCATTAATCATTTAATATTTGTTTTCTTTAAGTTTCTAGCAGTCCATGTTGCTTTAGAGACATTGAAGGGGTATAATTAGTGGGGCAGAGGTGTATTGTTGAATTATTATTATGTGACCTCTGTTGGACCAGCAAAACGAATAATCCGGCAAGGCTTTGAAACCAAGGGTGCCGGAAAATTGGTGGTGTACCTGTATTATATACTTTTAAGTAATTTCTCAATGTTATTACTTCTCAAAATGCTCAAAAGATGACCAAAACTATAATGTATGATAATTTAACCAAAGTAATTTTCAAAATTTTTTCTTCAATATTTAAAAAAAAAAAGAGTTATTAACCCTCAAATTATATACTTGTTTTTTTTTTACTTTTCACTACCAGTGAGAGCCACACATTCCAACATGGTGAGTAATTTTATAGTATTTGTTTGTTTGTAGTTAAGCATAAAGCTACACAATGGGCTATCTATGCTGTGCCCACAACGGGTATCGAGACCTGGTTTATTGTACTATAAGTTTACAGACATACCGCTGTGCTACTGGGGGGGGGGGTATAGTATCGGTCCTGTTACAACACTCAGTGCAAGGAACTGACCAAAAGTAACCAGGTGAAACAACCAATTAAACAACAGAGTAAAATTCACAGGGAAACTCAGTAGTAAATAGTGGAATTATTAAATACAATGTCAATAACATTTTAAATTTTTTGTGTGGCTCATATTATTAGGGACCCTATAACAAATACACATAATAAAAAAATCTAAAATTTTATATAGAGAAGTAGGGGTCGATATATACGTAACCTAGCTAGCTATAGTAATACAAAAAGTTTTAATGCTACAAAAGTACTGAAAGAAGAAAGTCAAAACTACAAAAAAATGTGAAAAATTTTATCCCTATTTTGGTAAATCACCATAATTAGGTAAGTATGAGCGAAATCCGAGTAAGGTTGTGTATATACTGATCCCTACTTGTCTTTATAAAATTAATTTTTTTTTATTATACTTGTTTGTTTCCTTTCTATTAGCTATATTTTTGTGCACCAGCAATACCAAGCATGGGGCATGAGTATACTAGTATCCTTTTCAATACAAAAAAGGAATCACTGGGACCCCCAGATGAAAGAGTTCAGTGAAAGAATTAGAATGATAAGGTTCCTCAATTTTTCTGGAAGAGTCACTAACTTAGATAAAAATTTGTTGAAATAGTGAAATTTTGATTCACTTGATAAAAATGTAAATAGCAATTTAGATGGCTTTATAAGTACAATATATTTTAGTTTTGCTCAGCCAATACTATGAAATAGTCACTGTTAATATTCACAAATTTTAAAGGTGGCTTTAAATGGGTGATTTTTATCACAGCCATTTTGTTTCATCACGATCACTACTATTAACCAATAATCAACAGATTTATGGACACACGAGCAATAAATAAGAAAAATATGTTTAAAAAGCTGATGTGATCTGGACTTAATCAGTAATTTTAAGGCTAATGTTACGACTGAATCTTGTTCATTTCCCCACCACCGCCTTCAGTTATGGTAAAGAAGTATTCTCCAAATATCATTTACATATTTAGACAAAAGGAAAAAACAAGACAATGAAAATTCTCATTCTTATGAGGAAAAGCTATTCCTCAGAAATGGATTAACGTTCTGTGACACCTGATTTATTTCAAGTTACGAAAGAAAAATTACTGGTGAAGATCATTATGAAGCTTTACTACACAAATACAATAAAGAAAATATTAAATCATTAAGGTTAACCAAATTTAATGAAGAAAGTTGCAATACTTATACTGTTAAGGTTTTGAATAATTAATATTTTATTATGCTTGAAATACACACATACTATCAGAAATTTTTATATATTAACTCAGTAAAAAAAAATGAATATCACTAAAATTGTTTAGAAAATAAAAAAAATATGAGGTAGTACTTAAGAAATATGAAGTTTACAGATTAAATGTGAAGACAATATTATAATATCAAAAATCTAGATATTTCTCTTTTTCTTTTATGCCTATACTACACACTAATTGGACAAAGAGACTTATCTTCTCATGATGTACATTACAAGAGTGTGGAATTACAGAATGAGCACTCCAAAACTACAGCATGTATGTAGTTTTATTAAATCTTTGTATTATTGCAGGCTGATAAAAATATACAACATAATCCAAGAGTTGAATTATCTTCATTTTATGCAATTATGGGTATGTTAATAATTTTGGGATCATATATTAAGCTTACTTTTTCTACATCAAATGTTCTTATTGTTTTCTCTTCACAGTAGTATGAATCAATCTGAAGTTAATTAATCTTAGTTAATTCCAATTAACTAAAGTATTCAAAGTTTTGGATTACCCATGTATTTTTTTTTGGCAAATGCTTTAATACTTCTGTTGCTAAAGTTGAAGAACTTTTTTGAACAATATACTAGATATAATTAACCTAGTTACCATTATGCAACTATTTTTACCAGATTTTTCAGACGATATTTGTCTGCATATGAAAGTACATATAAACTTTATCATTTTGATAGTATAGAAACAAGAAATTTTCCTCAATCAGTATGTACCTGTGATTTAAGTTCTGTTTTGATTAGTTTACTTTCTAAACAACATACTACATCAGCAATCTAGTCAGACACAAGATGAGACAAAGATGAATGATAAACAGTGCTCAAATTTTATGCTTTATAACTGTTGGCCATATAATGTAAAACAGAAGATCATAAAAGGTGACAGATAAAAAAAACTAAGTGGTAGACTTAATTAATCACAATCTGTAAAAGTAATACTGTAAGACAAAGATTTTACGGCTGCAGAAGTGAGTGATGTAGACAGATATCTGAAGGAACACAAGTTAAAAAAATGTTTACCTTGCCAGCTCACAAACTCTCCACCATCAGCTATAAACAAGAATGTGGATGGATGAATAGAAAAAACTGTTAGTAAGGAAGAAAGGGAGAAATATTATAGGTAAGACTTAAAAACATTTTAAGACATAATTAAACAAACCAAACATATTAAAATGAGAAGGAAATCATTAGTATATATTATACAAATTCAAGTATTAAAGAAAAAAAAAAGTAATATTTACAGACTATTCGTGGGCTTCTGTTATTTTTAAGTTTCTGATATTTCATATGTAAATAAAATTAGAAGATAAAGCATTTTGAAGATCAAATGGAATAGAACACTATTAATCTTTATTTTATTTTTGAGAAGAAGAAGAAAAACTAGACTGTATGTGATAGATTTGTCATTTGGTTTTCCAATCCTCTCTTATAAGATTAAATGTTACATCTCTCAAGGAACAACATATTTCGTGTAAATATTTCCTATATGAAAAAGGTTTTTACATCTAAGCAGTTGTGTATACATTTATAAATACAACAGAATTTTAACTGTTTCAATGTAAAATAGTAAGTACCTCATGTAGTTTTAGGTTAATGCTGTACAAGATGTAAAACGTAAAGTGTCAATACTAAATAAATTACTCAATTATTAACTAAATTAAGATTTTAAAACAAGTACCTCAAAATAAAATAAGTAAAACAAAAACTATGTATTGAAAGTTTCACATGCTTACTGAACACAATAAACACTTAGTATATAAAAAACAAAATTAAACAATCTCATAAAAATTAGTAATAACAAGAAATTAACAACAGTTTGAGAAGACTAACTATATTCATAACCAACAAAGCTAACTGACTTAAAATACCTTGCGTTTTCATTTCATTGATTTCACACTCTAAATAATCCTTAGTCAAAAAAAAAAAACACGAAAATAATCAGGTAAGTAACTCAGAAAAATATCAACAATGCCAAAATACAAAACAACAGAAACATTTTATCTGTTGCATTTTATTCTCCTACCTGGTCTTGTTGGGTCCATATTATTGGGTATCATGTGTTGTCCTGGAACATTACCAGGAGCCTACAAAAGGAAAACTTACAAGTCCAAAATGTAACTGAACACTGTTCTACGAAGTATGTAAAAACAACAAATATTTCTTTTTAACTTTGAAACATTAAAACAAAGAGCTATGTACTGTTACTTTATATAAATTACAAAAGATTTGCTTCATAAAAACCAACAACACAAATCAGTATGATTATTCAATTCTTCCCTCACACACACATACATTGTCATTAACCAGATAATTGATCTTTTGTCCTAAGATTCATGCTTCTGAGGACACTTTAAATCCAAATACTTTTTCTATACACTTTTTGAATGAACACTATATATATTTACATCTTAGCTCTAATAATTCCTCTCATAAATTTTCTGATTATTGTAACTAAACTCTGACAGACTTCACAATTGTTATTTAGTTTTTAAAGCTATTATTCTTAGACTAACTAAGACTTAAGTCCAGTTTTCTTTAGCTTCTGATACATGAAAACTGAATGCTCTAAAAACAATCAGATCTTTGGACTTATATCAATATGAGAAAAAAAATCATAAGTTATTGAAAACTTTATTGAACAATACTGGCAGCACACAGATTTAAGTAAGTCAAATGTAATCGGTACATCAAAATGAAAATCTATACAGTACAAGACTTACACTGAAATCGACTTGTTGACTCATCCTCACTCCAGACCGAGCTGGATAGCGCGGTGACATGAATGGCTATAGGAAAAAATAATAGTGTTATAAAAATTGTTTCATAAATCAAGTGCTTTGAAAAGTATTGTAACAGATCTTTCAGGAATTAATTATACAGAATTATCTTCTAGTACCATCAGTGAACTTGAATAGTGATATTTATATTATAAGGCATGAAATGTAAATATTGGTTGTCAGAAATTATAACTTTTATTACATTATTAAGAAATAACAATTAAATTGTTTTGTAAGAAACACAAAAGTGCATTACATACTTAACAATAAATATCAGCCAAATTTCTATGTTATACATAGGCTTCTTCATACTCAAATCTGTCAAACTATGACAGAAAAACAAAGTTGTAAAGTATAAATTAAAAAGTTTCTGAATCAAATATTCTGAAGAAGGCTATCAGAGCCTGCCAAAACATTTTAGATTCTTTTTATTAAAAAATGTGCTTTAATTCATGCTTTATAATGCCATTTTCATGCCTTAGTTTAAAAAACAAAACAATCCGAGTCAATTAAACTGGACAGCTAAACTGTTAAATGAATAAATGTGACATGTTTTAAAGAAAATTTTTGGGCAGCCCCAATTGCATTTACTATCTTTCTTGGAGTAAATAAAGAATCCACAACTTCATATGTTAATCATGCAACAAACACAACTGGTTATGGGCACTAGATGGTGTCAGCTCACCTGATTCTGGACCATTAAAGTATGAGAGGGAGGAGGCTGGGAATGAGGGGACGGTTGTGAAACTGACTGTTGAGGTGGAGAGGGTCTGATGTGAGAGTTCTGTGGGGAATACATTGTAAGATCATTCGCTACAGGAGAGCACCCAATGTACTAAACTTTAAAAACACTACATCCAGTCTAAAGTTATTGTAACACATTATAAGCAACCTTAAAATGTACAACCTTAGAACACACAATACATTTAACAAGAATAACAGTTGTTTATTGTGTTTGGTACATACACCATACGGTATTTATTGCTGTGTCAAAAAAGTGGAACTCCGATATTGCTACTCTTATCAACATTCAAATGCAACTGATCGTGATTAAAACTCAACCATTATAACTTGTATTAACAACTTTTATTACCCTTACTTAGCATTCCTACTACACTTCTTTAATACATTGTATTAAAACGATTTCAGAGCCTCACTACATCATTAGATTCCATCTAGTTATGTTCTGTTAAAAAATTGTGTATCTAGACGATAGCTCTGCAGCATAGTTTCCATTGTAAAAACTCAATCGTAAAGCTGTCATGTCCAATGCACACTCCTCCTATCTGTTATTTTCCATTACTTATCCTATAGAAGAGGATGACTGTTTCAACAGTCCATTATTTCATTATTATTCAACAGTCCAATCTTACAGAAATCTACAAATATTACATATGGAATAGCATGAATATCTGTTTCATTCTCCAGCTACTTGAGGCATGCAATGGTTGAATGGATATGTCATTGAACCAACTTGTGTCACTTTTTTAGATGGTGATCTTTCTTGATTATGCTGCATGATGTTGTCTTGGGGATGTGGAAGTTTTTCTACTGACTTTTGCATTTATAGATACTCACTTGCTACAACACACCAAAATTTCTTTACCTGGCTGGGGCACAACTTGTTGCAGGTCTCTTTCTTAATGTTCCTAATTCCCAAAGATGATCTATATTCCTTTGTTTATAATCCTCAATCTGAACATCTTTACAATACGAGTGTGTGAATATTTTGTGCCAGAAAGGGCTATCATATATATATCCTTGCAAAAAGCAATAAATGTTTGGTGCCATCAAACTACCAATGAAATGCCAAACAATGTCAAAATGTAATTCTGATACATTCTGTGACTTTATAGCTGTAGTTGTTACACGACTTGCTGACTTTACACATTCAATTTCTTTTAATATAACATACTCAACTCTCTTGAGATGACAACATTGCTAATAACATCTCTTTTAATCATTATTGCTTACACTGAAAAAAAAACAAAAAAAAACACTATAGACTAACTGATACTTCCCACCTCTTATTCTAAAATTTTTAGGTTATTATTAGGGCTTTCATGTTATAAAATATTTTTGGTCAACTACAAAATTTGAGTTATTATTGACTTACAAAGAATCATTTAGAATTTTTAATAAATGTGGCATCTTAACCCCAATATCCTAACATAATTACTAAGTTGTTTCTCAAACTGTTTTCAACTTAACATATCTGAAATTGAACTATCTTTTGAAAATATGGTAATTTGACTATACTGAATCTGAACTTACTGGGAAGAAACCAGCAGGGCCTACAGCTCCACCTGGCATCCCATCACCAGGGGCCATATGACTTAGTGGACTGGGGACTGTAGGGTTCTGAGAAGATAAAAATGTATAAAATTAGACACATGACATTCTTACACTATGATGTGTATTTTTCTTATTTTCTTATAGCAAAGCCACATCGGGTTATCTGCTGTGTCCACCGAGAGGAATCGAACCCCTGATTTTAGCATCGTAAATCCGAAAACTTATTGCTGTCCCACCGGGAGACACACTATGATGTAAACCTGTGTGGTGTTACACCTGGGATGAACGCTGTGTTATTTTTACACAAGGGCTTATATACATGATTATTTATACTTCAGTTAAGTATCAATAACTTCTTATATGCAGATTCATTTATTCAAGTCATGCAAACTATACATCTTCTAACAAAATAAAACAGATCAGATAAACAAAATCAAATTCAATAATCACTTGGTCAAAGCTTCAAAGGTAACACTGTTATTACACTTGATTTAAATATACACATATATCATTATTAACAAATAATGTCTAAAGGTGGTCACTTCACAGACAAATAAATACAAGATACTAACTATCAACTAGTAACCAGAGCTCTATGTCTTATTTTGCAATGCTCTTAGTTTTTGTGTTCCAACACTCAAAGTTTGCACCATTATCACCACAAGTTCATGCCAGAGTTATTTAAGTTTGGAGGAATTGTAACTGACCTCAGTATGCTATAAACTAGTGTTTCAATATCATTTTCCTGGTAATTGAAAATGCTTGAAAATGAAACAAAATCCACTGAAATGTAAAGACATGTCATGTAGATGTCCAAACAAAAAAAACAAGCTCATGCTTCCAAACCCACTTACTACAGAAGCTATGTTGTGAGCAGTAAGATGCATATAGAGTTCTTGGATCAACCAAAAGTGTCCATAATAGACTCATGGAGACTGAGTTATGATACTGCATTAGGATCCCATTGACCCAGCATCACAGCAAGGATACTGGGATCAGAGCTTAAAATATGCATAGTTTGATGTTAGTGATCTTCATAGGAGAGTCCAGATTTTGTATGAAGTTCATAGACTACCTTTCCAAAGTTTGAAGACAATTTGGAAGCATTATTACAATGCTAACTAGTTAAAAAAGACCAATAAAATTGTGGGTCCACCATGGTCTGAAACCAACATCAGCTTCAGTGGCAAAATTGGCATCCAAGTGTCCTTGGATGGAATTTTTGACAGCTGTGCATTACACGTTTGAAATCCTAGACATTTATAAGAGGCCATATGTTGGTGCCACTGGTGGTGAATTCCTCCTAAAGGATGACAATTTCACCAACACTGGAATCATGCACATAACAGTGGGAGACTACAGTGTTCCATATAGGATGGCCTGCTCCAAACGTAGACCCATTCAAAAATTCTGGAATTCTCACCAACAAACTCTTTCAGCACATCCTGTTCTGCCCATGATTATCCACAAGTTGGGAGATGCTCTTATAAAGGAATGGGAAATGGGCCTGCTTGCTATAGATAAACTTGTTGAGGCTTAGCAGGAGCACATGGATGCAATGCCAAGCAATGATCAATGCTTTTGAGAGGTATACTAGTTATTGGTAAGATTTATTTTAAGCTTTTTCTTTATTGATCAATTTAACAAACTCTCCATATACCTAAAAGTTCTATTTTGAGGAGGTATCCTCTTCCATGTTATGTAAAGGCATACTGGAAAAAATTAAGAACAGTTTGTATTATAGAATATTTAAAAGAAACAATGTACACAACTATCAGTTGATTGCTGGTCATTAGTTTGAGAAGTTTCCCTAGCAAATACCGAGTAAAAACTATATAGATTCAAACTATAAATACCTTTATAAACCAATGAAGCTAATTCTATGTAGCAAACTGACTAGAAATAACTAATGTTACAAACTCTTCAGTGGTCAATATTGATTACAATGTTGAAATCTTCAAAATGTGACTTTTTATTGTAACAAAATATTAATCACTAAAAGAAAGGGAGGAATCACTTATCAATGGACTCTTCAAGCATTAGTCATGTCTAGCTTGATAAATCAGGTAGAATATTCTGTCTTCAAACCAGGTTAGAAATAGTGAAAAAAAAAATGACACCCAAGTACGAGTTGATCAGCATTAGTTGTTTCAGTAAAAGCCCTTCTATTTATCAAAAATCAGTTCTGGTGAAGACTGGATCAATTATCACTACTGAGTCACTATTACTTTTCCACTAAATGTGAATCGATCTATTTCATATTGGCCAGGCATGGCCTAGTAGTTAACGTTTATAAACTGTAAGTCTTAGAATTCATGGTTTGTGACCTGCTACCACAAAAACATGCTCTGAACTTTGAGAATAGGTATGCATTGTAGGAATTGATAGTGAGCACTGTTGAACAGCTGTCTTCCTTTTAGTCTATCTGGTCAAACGTAAGGATGATTCTGGGCAGAAATTCCATGTATAGCTTTGTGGGAAAATCTGAAACAAACACTATATTTGATACTGTACATTTTTGGAAATCACTAAATCTTTTCTGGAAATTGATGAACTAACATTTACCATGATACCATTCTGTTATTATTACCAGTGGTAATAATAATACTATTTTAGAAATGAATGAATCATTTCAACTTGTAGGCTCTATCTGATGATAATTTCTCAGTTAGCTCTTCAACTCTCCAACAGTTGTGTTGGTCAAAAATATTCCATAAAAGAAAAATTCAACAATGAAGAATCAGATTTTGCATTTGGACAAAAAATCATTAAAGACAGTGTGCCAAAATTTTTTCTGAGATACTTAGCACAAGTAATCGCATCTGAAAATCACAAAAGTGTATATTGTACAATTTTATGAATAGGGTTCTATGGTAAGCATACTTATATCTGTCTTTGCATAAAGAACCAAAAAAAAAAAAGTCAATTGTACAGCTACAAATCAAACTTAGTCACTGGCAACTTACTTATTAAATAATTTTTTGCCCATTGTTTTCACTAGACTAAAAAAAAATTGATATATAAATTCAAAATTAATTATGATTCTGAACTACACAAGTTGTATGTCCTGAAAATTAAGCCAATTTGACCTCTGAAATAACCTTAACACCTGCAATGCTATCTGGCTTTTATGACATATCAGTTGAAACTAAGATGTACAAAATTTAAAATAGCAACCTTAAATGGGCAAAGCAATTCTGGAAAATGATGATAGGGCAAAATTATTTGGGGTCAATCTCAAGACCTGTCCTACAACAGCAAAAAAGTTCATACATGCAACAGCCATCATGGACAACCCTCCATTAACATTCATGATGCAATCAGATTGTTCATGGAGGAGTACTCTCTAACTCATTCAATTCAGCACACAATGATTCAGAAAAGACCTCTCCATGACTGTCAAGGCATAGTCTTTTGGTATGGCCGACAAGGTTTTTGTTTTGTTTCATGTCAGTTCTAAAGTGTAGATATTCTGGGTAGACAGTGATCACCAAAGCACAGAGGAAGAACAAGCTAACTACACAGTGGGACTTTGGGATTCATCATTCAAACACATGCATGCTTAACACAGTTAGTTGTTTTTTTATTTTTTGCAATAATAAAAAATTTTATCAAACAGTCAAATAGTAAGCATTTTCTTTTTTTTACTCAGTGACTTGGAGAGCTTCCAAGTCATCTGTTATACTTAATTTTGGACATTAAATTTTACTTGTTTGTTAACTAATGCATTTGTGAATAGGATCATGTCTCAGTTATGGGATAATGTTAATCCTTGTAAATAGTCTCAAAACTTTTTTTAAAGTAAATCATTTGTTCAGTTTCTTTAGAAGTATATTTATTCCTCAGATACTTGCTTATTAATTTCAGTGATTTTTTTTTTTTTTATATTTCACTATCATCAGCTCAGACTAAAAATATATGCCAAACCAGGGAATGACTACCTTGGGTAAAAGAATATTTGCCCTTTAATTCTTCTTTTATGTTACACTGTTTACTCTCAGCTATCATCTTCACTGGAAATGTCTTTTTCCTTTGGATTTATTAACAAATAAGAGCATCTTCACCATCAGCAGTATCTCCATTCTCACCTTTTCTTTTTACAGAAACTGTCTTCATTTTAAGACAGAATGAAATCCCACAAGTTATCATTAATACAGGTAAAGCATTAACACACTAACTGTGCAATAAACTATTTCCTGCAAACTAAAATTTGGCATGACAAAGAATGTGGTCCTTTGCCAAGAAAAATGTCAAATGACTAAACAGAGATACTAAACTTTTATACTCCATGTATTGAGGAGTATGAGCAAGGCATGTTTACTCATCATATTCATGAGTATTAAATTACTTTTACTATTATTCATATAATAAAATAAGTACCTTAACCCTTGTCATTCCTTTAAAAGGCAAATAGGGCTATGAGTAAACTCAAGTTTCCTATGCACATACCCCCTGGATGGGATGCCAGTCCCTTGCAGGTTAACCCCATAACATTTACTGGTACCCATCATATAGTTGGGTAGATTGAAGCAAATGGGAGTAAAGCTTCTTACTCAATAATACGTACCAGGCAAGCCTTGAACCTGCAAACTTTCCACTATGAGCCCAAAGCAGTAACCACTAGGTAGGCTTAACTATAATTAATTCATGCTTTATATATAATCAATTCCAGTTTCCCTAACCACAGTTGATATAATTGAAAATGATCCATATTGTAAATAATAAAACTATAATATCAAAAAACAACTGCACACTTTATGTCTATCCTGTTCTTTTTACCCATACTATAAAGTAAAAGTTAAAAATGAATACTTAATTTTCAATTTCATTGTTTAAAATTATTATGTTTTCACAAAAAGGACAGCCTTTCATCCTGAAAGATAATTTCTCTTCATTTCACTTACACAACAATGTATTATACAATTCCAATCATTATACATTTATAATTAACTCAAGAAAGTTATGGGACACCATATGAACGTGACAGAGCTAATTAAGCAATGAGATTCAGTAAGTACATTAGACCTAACAAATCCTGCATCTCCTTTTTCTAGTGATTTACATTA